TGTGGCAATAGCAAAGGCCTTTCCCTAATTGGCATTTGGGGGTGGGGGATGGGGTGAACTTCATATTAATGCCTTTGGTCTTACAATGGGATATCCAACAAGCTAATGTAGGTGTGATGGTCAGAGTTCCACATACTTGTGGCCATACAGTGTAGCTAGAGGCTAGACATGCAGCCAGAAGCCAAAGTGAATTCATTTATGACTTGGTAAAAAGTCCTATGAGATTTGATTCATCTTTCATTTTAAGGCCAGTGTGTTGTAAGAAATCATGGCAAACTGATGGTAAACTTTTGTGGAGAAAGCCTGAAGATGAATTCTACCCAGACCCAGGGTGGTGTGTAGCACAGACGTGGAGTCTGAGGCTCTTTTTTCTTACAGTTGTATCGGTTAGCTTGTGTTCATGATGGGATCAGGAACTTCGAACTTAGAAACTGCTCAAACAATAATAATCTTAAGCTCCTTTTAAAAGAATACTTTGCTAAAAAGAACATTGGAATGGTTTGTTTAAAAATAAATGCCACTTGATTTGACATTTTGTAACACAGTTAATTTAAGTATGGCACAAATGTCCACACACTTTTTTGTCAACGTATATGTCCGAGCTTGTCAGTTAGATGACATCCTGTACATCAGGATATCCATGCTAACAGGAATAAGCTTTAAAGCTCATTTAATGAACACAGACAATTTGTGGCTACTGCATGAAAGATCCTAGTCCAGGGCTTCACCATGATCCCAGGCCTGGCTTACAAAACACTATTCTAAGGCAGCTTACAGGGGTTAAGAAGAACGGTGCCCTGAACTAGAAAAAAACCTTGATCTAATTGGCCCCTCACTAGTCCACTGTTAACAACATACATATGTCAGCAGAGATCACTGGGTCATAGGGACAAGATCCTGTGGACAGTGCATTCAATAACCTGAGCAGTCTAAAAATACATACACATCCCATTACCTATGACAACCAATCAATTCTGGCCAACACAACACAAATTAGGTCTGTTACAATATCCTCCCATCTGAAATAAATGCCTGTAAACATGTCAAATACAATTAGCATAACACTGCGTTTCCCAGTGGGGATTGGGAACTTTCGAGAAACAAGCAACGCGATACTGCCAGTTAATCACTTGCTCTCATATTAGATCAATTAGAGTGAAGACAGATGGCCGCAAAAGCCTGTCTGGACATGTCTTAAGTACTGGAAACGTGTGCTGAGCCATAAACTGGGACGCGTGTGTCAGAACTGGGGTCAGAACAGTGGGAGAGTCGCAAGCACCAGCACCATATGCTGCTTCAGAAGATGAACTGGCTAGGTGGCATCTAAAGCACTGTCCAGTTATACAGAACTGCACCTATATGTGGACCACAAATTCACATTTCTAGTAAACCTCTGTTGTGTTACTCTGCATTACGTTGAGTGATGCTGGGGGGGAAATGATGTTTTTTTTTTGTGATCAATTTTTTTTTATTTTTCATTTGTTTCCTGTTAATCAAGCAGCATTTTATCACAACATTACAGAGCTGCAGGAGATCAAAACAACCCCCTTACCACCCCATCCCTCCCCGTCCCACTGGTCCATCCATCCCTATTTCCTGTATATACTTTATACTATTTACTAAGTAAGATTTAGTGCAAAGAATGACATCTCAAAAATAAAATAAAAAAGAGAGAAAAAAGAATGTTAGCTTACAAGATGTACCTCATAGCCTTTGTTCCAATCTTTTTGTCACATCACAACAAATCTGTTTCCATGTCTCAAGAGTAGATGTTTTAACTTTATTAATCCTAGCTGTGGCCAATTCTAACATAACTATGTCATGCAGTTGAAATAGCCAATGTCGTACACTTAGATTATGTGGGTGAAGCCACCTCTGTACAATAATTTTTTTAGCCAATGTTAAACCAGCGAGCCACATCTTCCTTTGTTTGTCTGTTAAGTTTAAATTGGAGTCATCATTTAGCAATAATACAGCTGGATCCACGGGAATTTCTTGTCCAACCAGAGCAGATAATATGGTAGTAACCTTTATCCAGAAGTCATTAACATCCCCACATTCCCACACCATGTGCAAAAAAGTTCCCATTGGTTGTTGTGGACAACAGTTGCAGTAGGGATGTACTGCAGTTTTTGCAAGAAAGCGTTTTCGTGGTGTCCAATATAACCTATGACAATATTTAAAATGGATCAGTTGATGATTGGGGTTCTTTGATGCATGAAATATATTTTGCCATACTATGTTCCAATCAATTGAATTAACAGATTCCTGTTAATTCAATTGAAAGTTCCTTTTCCCAGATAGACTGAATTGGGAGCTTCTTATACAACGTTTCAGTAAGGTGAGAATATATAGTTGATACAAGACCATGTGGTGGCGCATTAACGACCCAGCTATAAATTGGATGTGGCTTGAGGCCTGTTCCCCATGGAATTCCGTATGCTTTAAGGGCTGAATGTAATTGTAAATACAAAAAGAAGGAAGATCTTGGTATATTAAAGTTTGTTACTAAATTTTCAAAGCTTAACATCCCCTCTGAATTAAATACATCATCAAGAGTTTTAATATTCTGTCTTCTCCATTGCTCCGGTGTAAAAGGTTTGGTACCAGATTTTATATTCCTATTATGCCAAAGTGGGGTTTGTAAATGACCTTGGTAACCAAGATATTTTTCCACGGCTTTGAAATTTGTGATAGTGTTGGTCATAATGGGACCAAAGTTTAGCAAACAGAATTTTATGGACAATCCGGAAAACAATACATCTTGAAGTCTGATAGGCACACTTAACTGTTCCTCAATTTGTCTCCATGGAACATGAGAGAGTGGGTCAAACCAGACCTTTAAGGCACAGAGTTGGACAACTTTATGGTACATTATAAAATTAGGTAAGGATAAAACTCCTTTCATTTTAGAATAACACAATGTACCTAATTTCATTTTAGGTTGCCTGCTGTTCTAAATAAACTTGCGAATTACTGAATCAAACTTTTTCCACCAGATTACCGGCGATGACAGAGCAATCATTGTACTTAAAAAATTAATACGTGGCAGTATATTCATTTTTATGGTCGCAATTCTAGACTGTAATGAAGATGGTATATTTGCCCACCTAGCTGTATCATTTTGAATTTCCGTCAGAGTTTTACCATAATTTGTATCAAGAATACCTTGCAGACAGGCCATTATGTCAATCCCGAGATAAGTAATCTGACACTTTACAGGAATTAATGAGACCAATGCTGGTGATGTCTGAATTTCTTTGGCTTTCTTATTAAGAGGGAGAAGACAGGATTTAATCCAATTAATCATAGATTCAAAATTGGAAATATACAATAAAATGTCATCAGCATAGAGAGATATTGCATGTTTATGTTGTTGAATTGAAATATAGCAGATTTCATTTTGTCTGATATACTGTGCCAGAGGTTCTAGTGAGAGGGCGAACAACATTGGCGAAAGAGGGCACCCTTGTCTACTTCCTCTAGAGATATTGAACGGTTGAGAGTGTAGACCATTGGTTACTACAACTGCTGAAGGATTTGAATAGATTACACGTATCATGTTAATAAAATTTCCGCCAAGCCCACATTTCTCTAGCACCTTCCAGTTTAAATGATCAAAAGCTTTATCTGCATCTAAGGATAATATTGCACATGGGCTTTCCTGCTGTTTGGTCTCGTTTATAATATGGAATAAACGCCATATATTATCTGTAGCCAAGCAATTTGGTATAAAACCAGCTTGATCAGGTTGAACAAGTTTACCTATGTATTTCCGTAAGTGTAATGCCAAGACTCTTGAATATAATTTAATATCTGAATTAATTAGGGAAATTGGTCTATAATATGAGCATCTAGTGGGATCTTTCCCTTTTTTTGGTATTAGGGAGATTAGGGTAATGTTCATTTGTTTTTCAAAATATCCCTTCTCAGCTGCTGAGTTTATGGCTTTATGTAGGACTGGCCCAAGAACATCCCAGAAATGCAAAAGTAACTCTGGTGGAATACCATCAATTCCTGGGGTTTTTCTTTTTTTTGAAGTCTTAAGTGCTATGTGTAATTATTCAAGTGTTATCGGCTAGCCAAGTTGTTTGGATTCACTAGCTGTTAGCTTTGGAAGATCTATCTCTTGAAGAAATACTTGACATGTATCTATATCAAAATTGGCAATGGGTTTGTAAAAGTCAGAAAAGTGTAATTTAAAAGCATCATTTATGTCGTTAGGTTCAGAAACCAATCCTTTACATGGTGAACAGATGGCGTCAATAGTAGCCTGGTGTTCACTCTGCTTCAATTTGAGTGCAAGTATTTTACTTGGCCTAGATCCGTTAAAATAATATTTCTGCCTTACTCTGTGCAAGATAAACTCCACCTTTCTACGTAGCAGATCATTTAATTCAGCTCTGGCAATTTTCAGTTCTTTTTCAACATGCGCTGAGTATTTATTTTTCAGGGTTTGCTCTCGAGATTGACAAAGACCTTCTAACTCCACAATTTTGTATTTTCTTGTTTTGTGTACATAGGAGGCGAATGAAGTAGTGAAATTTCTTAAGAAACCTTTTGTAGCCATCCACACCATAATGGCATTATCTACAGGGGGAAATGATGGTTAAACTGTGGTGACCTACTACTATCTGTTCTGTTCCTTGCATATTATACAATATAAACATGGCTGTTTGGCCTATTTTATGCTGTTACAGTACTAAGTTGAAACACAGGGCACAGCATACACATCATCTTAGCGCGCAACTTGTCGCATCTGATGTCAGAGTTGTGTGACGTAACTAATTAATCTCGCAGAGAGCCTGCCTGGGTTTAAATAGAGATATCCATAATCCCATTCAGCACTTAGTGGAGTTGGAGTTGTCAGGGGAGCAGGCCAAAAGATATAGACTTAGACCTAGCTGAGTGTCCAGCCAAGACCAGCGTAGCACGCCTCCACAGTACTACTGATTCACTGTTGTTAGACAGAGAGACAGAGAGAGAGAGAGAGAGAGAAAGAAAGAGAGAGAAAGAGATAGAGAGTTGCAAAAGTAGTTGGACAGTTTCCCCTATCTGAGGAACATCTTGAAGGTATGGGCAACAGCAAGAGCAGCGCTTTGTCCAAGGAGATTCTGGAGGACCTAAAAATGAACACCAAATACTCGGAGGCCGAGCTGTCTGCCTGGTACACCACCTTCCTTAAAGAATGTCCAAGTGGGCGCATTACCAAGGAGCAGTTTGAAGGCATCTATGCCAGCTTCTTTCCCAATGCCGATCCCACCGAGTATGCACGGCATGTTTTTCGCAGTTTTGACCTCAACGCAGACGGCACGCTGGATTTTAAGGAATACATCATCGCATTGCACCTCACCTCCTCTGGCAAAACCATGCACAAACTCGAGTGGGCTTTTGCTCTGTATGACGTTGACGGTAATGGAACCATCAGCAAGAACGAGGTCCAAGACATTGTCAAGGTGTGTACTCAGACTAATAAAACATCTTCTACTGATCATCTTCTGGATTCATAAAACAGATAAATAATACTAACAGTAAATTTCTACATACAGATGTGTGGTCAAAAAGACAGTGCACCCTTAGGGAAACTTAGGCTTTTATATTTAGATACAATTCATTACATTTATACCTTTAAAACATACGATTGAGAAGTACTTTGATAAGAATGTAGGGCCATTTCTGTTTTGAATTTAGATCACTTAAGGCCATTTTAATCTATGCAAGTATGAGCTGTTTACTAGATATTTAACCGGTATGTCAAACTTGACCACATGGTTAAAGGAGCTTAAGATGGATTATACCTCCTGACTGTGCAAGTCTTCTAGGTGGAGTTAAGCTTTTTATGAGTCAATTTATAACAAATGACAGTTCTGATATTAATTCTTGATTCTTCCTCAATATAGGCAATATTTAATATGATTCCTGTTGAGGATCAGAAAAACCTTCCAGAGGACGAGAACACACCAGAAAAGCGTGCAGACAAAATATGGAACTTTTTCCAAAAGAAAGAAAATGGTAATTCAATTTTTTCATGGTCCAAACCGGAAAAATACAAGAAAAAATTAGATCATTATTATTAAGTAGTATAATCATTATCAGCAATATATGATGTTCTCACACTCTGCATTTCTTATTGGCCTCACAGACAAGATTGCAGAAGGGGAGTTCATACAGGGAGTGATGGACAACAAAGACATTTTGAGGCTGATACAGTTTGACGAGCCAAAGAAGATTCAGGACAAACTGAAGGAGAAGAAGCAGTAACATCCAAGCCCACTTTCCCATGAGACTGTTCACAGCACATTTCCTGTTTACACACCTAACCTCCTATGCTACCCAGACACTCTTGGACTCTAGAGGACCTTTTGTTTGTCCACAAAGCAGAGTTATGACGGACCAGAGTGCACGGACATGACTCAACCACGTTTCTCCCACAAGCCACTCCTAGCCAATGTATAGCCATACACAGCCTGAGCTAATCAGGCGTTTCTTGATTTGAAGATCAGTTTATTGACCACTGATGCCTCATTCATATTCACCACCCATTCGGTTACAGTGGCAAGAAAGTAAGGCAAAGAGCTTCTGATGAGAGGAATTAGGCTCATGTTAACAATCCCTCTCTAGCGTAATCAATCCTCTTAAAATCTGAAGGTCAGGGTAGGTAAATCCTCCAGGGCCAAGTGGTTCTCTTCTGGTCCCTTGTTCTCAGGGCTGTAGCGTGGACTTGGGTTCAAGTCAGCATTTAGGAACCATCTATGCTCTTTAAATGTTGGAACTGAACTGTTTACAGGATAAAATGTGCATATAACATACCTTTTTATTGTATTTCTAAGTGAGTTGTACAGGGTCTTCAGGTGGCCACATAGTCTGGAGCATGGGGGCTGTACTCATTTAATGCACCTATTTATGCTCAGCAAATACGCAGTAGGCTCACAGTTTAAACGCACGACTACTACTGCTGCCATTCAGTCACATGACTTTGTTTTGCCTTTTACATAGTTACTCCATGGACGGTTTCTTCAATCTTTAAGAGGTATTATACTGTATTTACCAGCTGCAGCTGTCTGTTTCCATCACTGTTTCAGTACTGCTTATTGGTAAAGACCACTATCTGTTATTGCTAACGATTAACGATTTATTCCTGTACACATTTTAGCTTGTTCAAGAGAGAAAATAATGTACTACTGATGTGTGTGCAAGAATAGGCTCTTTAGAGATTTCCATGCTTTTAAAACTGACCAACTGTCTGTGAATGCTTAGAGCATTTTTGGATATATTTTTTATTATCATTTATTTATTTATTTGTCCGGCATGTATTGCATGTTTAACTAGTTACTGCTATTTTATGAGCAAATCAAAAGATATATTAACAAAACATTATCTATCTTATACTACAACAATCATAGTTTAGGAACAACATGTATTTGATGGTCTTGCCTGTTACAACAGTTCTCCACAATGTTCTTTGTGCAACAGCTCTAAAAGTGAAATCCTGCATTACAGGTGCAGTTTTCATTTCCCCTGTTGTATCTTTGTCGTGTTGTCACTGCACATTGCCAAGGCTTTGGGGAATGGTGAGAAAAGCATGAGCTTACCTCTTTCTTAAAGCCATCCAAGGCTGTCTTTGGCTCAGCCTAATACATGGCCTGGTTTCAGGGATGGAACACTGAGCCAATGGCTCGAGCTCTGGTGGGGTGGGGTGGAATTGCAACTGACCCCAGGAGAGATGGAGCCAAAAGGCTACGTTTCATCTGCTTAAAGGGATCAGTCCACTCCAATCAAACTGGCTGGGTCATTAGCCTGAAGGGAGACACACTTGACAAACGTGCACACACGAGGTGCTACTTAGAGCCCGAAGAGTGTGGGATCCTGTTGATGTGATGGGAAATAAAATGTAGTTTAAAATAAATCTCTTTTTTTAATTTATTTTAGACACTGTAGTCATTTCCTGGGCATACTGAACATAAACATGACGATTCCATAAACATGTCGTATTAATGGGGACCATTAACTTGAGAGCAGATAAAACAACAATTACAATATCATATAAAAGGGATTTAGTTACACACAAGGACATTCAACTTAACAACTTCTCATTATACACAGAATGCACATCATTGACGTGAAGTATAAGCACAATTTATGCCACGTGTAATTCGGGAAACGAGACGGCCGTTACATGCGAAACTGCAGACAGGTTAACCAGCTACACCCAATGTTAAGCAAGAGAGGGATGGTCGTTAGTAGAAAATAACCTTAGTAAAAATAAGTTCAGTGTACTACCTGAAAATGATTTTTTATTTGTGTTCCTTATGTGAGGCGATTTTAATGTATATCATCCTCATACAATCCCATTATGCCTAGAATCCCTGCATGATTTTATAGCTCTACAACAAGAGAGTAACGCACACCACCAATAAATGCACTCCAAAGTAGCAGCTTGCCTACCCACTGGAGATTTGTGCCTGTTTTTTGTTTGGTTTTGTTTAGTTTATTACAGTGTCGACTACAATACTGTGCAAAAGCCAGAAACCCCACTCGTCATTTATATGTATTTAACCCCTTTAAAATACCAGGCTTATTACATACTAAGGCTAATTATCCAGTAACTACAGGATCTTCAGTGTAAACTGGTTGAGCTATTCTTGGGTTAGAGAAATGTATAATAAAACTAGGGCTCACCAGTGGGCCCTAGCCATTTAAGGGGTTCATTTCTAGTCAAAACATCCATTAAGTATTTATTAAATATAAGATTAAATATAAGATAATCAGCTTGCAGAGAGGATAAGGAAAGTCAAAGGGAAATCAATTAAAAAGAAGGACTTCCCAAAACTGGAGTTCAAAAACTGTTTAAGATATAAGGAAATGGGACTCCTAACCACCATGCAAGACCTGGTAGACCAACAAAACTGTCACCATCAGACGAACAGTAGAGTTTTCGTCTCAGTCAAGCTCTACTCTTGCTTTAGATCTGAAAGAAATCCACAGGTGTTTCTGTCCATCTTTTCACTGAGAGAAGACAACTCAAGCTATAAGTCTGAAAGGATGTGCAGAGCCCAGAGCTCAACACCACTGAATGTGTACGTAATTACTTAGACAGTGGAAAGCAGAAAATGCAACCAACTTCTAAGACTGAACTTTGCAGGCATGGAAAAATATCCCTGCAGATGTCTTTGAAAAACTGAAAGCATAATTTTCTGTTAAACAGACTAAAAAGAGAATAAAAATTTTGACTGGAAGTTAAATTAATGAAAGGATGGGCTCTAACTTTTGCACAGTACTGTGTGTTGGATTATAGTCTATATCATTCACCTTTTTAAACAGGTCCTCCTCACCTGAACACATCTGGTGTAAGGTGTAGTTGTAAAAAAGTAAAAAACATTTTTAGAAATAGAATTTTTTTTTTCTGAAACAAGTTGGAACAGCTTTTCTGTGCTTTGAATTGCCATGTGCTTCATATCCAATCTGTAGTCCTCATTATTATTAGCATGTAAACATCGAGAAAAGTAATATTAAATTAAGTTTATCAATTTGATCCAAATTACTTATCCTGTGTTCAGCTGCCTTCTGTAACCTGATCTGAAGGTAAAAATGTTTAAGTAAGCTCTCAATCTGTAAACACGCATTAGAATTTCAGTACAAACTGAAAGACACAAGGAGACAAGCACTTGGTGGAATGTGCTTATGATGACATTTGCAGACTCAAAAAAAAAAACCAAAAAAAAACACATATTTACAACTATATACAAACACTAAACAGAATATATAATGGACATTCCAAGGCAATTTACCTTTAGGCACTAAAAGGTGTACATCAATACAAATGATCATAAAGTCACATCTGATCCACCTCAGATTTACGCTAAGACTAGAGCTCAGCCATATAATTTCACCTTTGATACATGCTCTGATAACTCCTACAATTGAACTTGGAATGGAAGCGGGATGAGATTGGGATGCTGCACAGGGCTGATTATGTTCTGCATAAAGAGGTTTCTTGGCTTCGCTTGAGGAGAAATCATACGATCGGGCTTATGAGTGCAGTATTTTGTTGAGACAGACTCTATGAACATAGTCAATGGACTGAATGCCAGTGTCAAGGCAGTTTTCATGTTTTTTATATTACACAAATATCTTTTCATAGACGAAATAGAACTATTCATCACTGAGATTCTGCATTTTTGAGAACCGCATGCTTCTCTGCAAAAACAAATCTGCAAAAATATGAAAATATATCATATCCATACTTAGATAATGCATTTTGCTGAGGATTTTCATTTGTCAGGAAGGCTGAAATTTTTACCAAGAGTTCGTGTTCTAGCTGTACGTTGATTGTGAATGTAGTAAAAACTTTGTTGCATTCCTCATTGCAATAAAATCTTTTTTGACTACAATACAGATTTAACAATCTAACTATATAATGACGCTATAGAATAGAATATTAGTAGAATATTTTTTTCCACAAACTTTACAAATGTTGAGGGATCATGCTGGTTATTTAGATCAAGACTGCTGTTTTTCTCAAAGTGCAGCTAGTCTTCATGTTGAGAGCAGTTTTGAACATCAAGATGGGTGACTTATAAGTTACTTTTAAGTTCTACAGAAATAATTATGTATGCTTCCATTTTCAAGACTATGCAAATATATGCGTCTGTGAAGTGTTTATGTGTGTATAATTAAAATGACGGTTATGTGCCTGACTGAACTTAACTGAAACAAACTCAATTTTCAACAAACTCACTGTACTGTGCTTGTTCTAAGCACAAGCAGTTATACCTACACTATTATCAGATATAAACTGTTACTGAAATACAGAGATCATTACGTGTTGATCAGTACTAGTGGCTTCATATTCAGGCAACAAAGTACATGGTGCTGTGTAGAGGATGTTAATGCACTCCGCCACTGATCTGTCCTATATATGTCCATAGAAACCTATGGGGCAATTCAAATGGTGGTTCAAGAGATAGATCTGTATGGCTTTGGCCGAGAACTTGGAGTACTGTGGTAGACAGATAGACAGACAGGTAGACTTGGATAGTTTGGGTGTAGTGTGTGTGTGTGTGTTTCTGCTGTTCTGAGGTCTGTGTCCTTTAGATGTCCATGTCCACAGGTCTCATATCTCCTGTCTTGTGCTCCCGCACCCACAGCTCTCTGTCTTTGGCTGGGTCCACACTCTGGAGGAGCTGGTCCACTGGCTCCAGTGTCTACAACACACCATTTAGACTTTGGTACAGTGGAAAACTGTATTAACCACATCAACTACCTAAAATAGAGATATTCAACTCTAGAGCTTGAATCCCATTTCCAGTCCTGGTTTCTGTAATCACTGGTCCCATTTCCTACATTTGTTCTTGAGAACTCGTTTAAGAACCACTGCATTACAATTAAATGAGCTGTTACTGCACCTTTAAGTCTGAACACCTCCAGTGAAATTATACATATGTTAACCCATTCTGTACAGGGAACAAACGTAAGTATGACATTTTTCTGCTAATTGTAGTGCACAATATATTTGCAGAGTTTAACACGTTGAAAATAATTAAAATGTTTGACATACTGGGAAAAAATAATACGTAAGTTTGAAATATGCTATAACTTTGCACAGCCCATTTTTCCCCAATATGTTAAACATATTAAATTCAGCAAATAAACTGTAATTGTGCATTAAAATATGCAGAAGTGTGGTCTCTGTAGATGATGTGTTAACTTATTTGACCAGGGATGCCCAAACCTTTGCATATGACTATACGTACATGTAAATGACCTCTGTTCTGGTGCCTTGCCTTGTATTCTGCCTCATTCAATATTCATATTTAAAGTGTATAGACTGGGGAGTAAGCGACATGTTTTAAAACTTTACCAACATTAACACATCAAACTCTAATTTCAAAAAAGTGAAGAAAATGTGTTTTTTGTGATGTTAGCCCATTAAATTGCATCACAGAATCATGTTTCTCAACTGCAACCCTGAGGACTCACTGAGGCTTCGCACTTGGCTGATGAGCTGGATCAGTTATATCAACGATTCAATGAACCACCTGCCATTACAAAACCCAGGGTCAGTAATAGGATTCTAGCTGAAGTTGAATAGCCCTGTTAGCCTCTAAAAGCATGTACAGATTAGCAATATTTTCAGGTCCGATCCAAATTTTCATTCTTAAGTCAAGATTCGATGACATTTTTGCTATGTGTTAAAATGCATTGGCAAACAGTATTAAGTAATACAAAAGCCTTAACTGCCTCACATAAAGCCTTACATTGTTTGTCTCCATTTTAAACTCCCCAAAATTGACATACCAACATGATACAAAAGCACAATTAATATATGTGTGAGTCTGACACTAAGCATTAACTATAACTAAGTTTTGATTATAATTAATATGCTGGTTGTATGAGTAGACTATGAGGAATTGTGAATTCTGTGACCCTCCAATGGATCCTTAGAATTCTACGGGTTAAAACATTTTTCCTGATCTGGCAATTGACTTGACCATGTGCTGGAAAGAGTGCTCATTCAGCCTGTCGTCTTGTTTTGAGAGAGCATGCCAATGCGTAATTGCAGCAGGCTTCTGCGCTAGTGTTTGTTACGGCACACAGCTCTTGGAGTTGGCTGCCAGCCGCTGGTTAAATCTGCAGCTTTCACTCGTACACACCCACAGCCCTGTGGCAGGTGTTCACTCTCCCCCTGCTCAGCCGCCCTAGTGACCAGGCACAGTCAAAATGCTAAGCAGCAGGATTTGCTAACGCATTTAGCCCAAGGTAAAAGATTTAGTGCTTGTAGTTTCAGTAACAGGATCAGTCACAGGATCGTGACTAATGCCTTGCTCGATTGGTGGGCTGCTTGGTTTTGCACAGGCTAAGAAATGCTGGATCTGCCAGTAGGTCAGGACCTGATACTGGAAGCTTCAGGCATCAGCAGGATGATGGAACTCTAGGGAGAGTTACTTATGATTAGTTATGCAGTCTCTGTGTCACAATTATACATGCAAACTGTTAGGAGACGTGTCCAAACGGAGTGGCTGCCAGAGAGAGAGGTAATTAAATGTAACATCTGTTATAGTAGTGATCTTGCATCATACAGATGAAGGCTGCCCAACTTGGTGGTAGTGTGGATAACACTGGGAAAAAAATCTTCTTGCAAATCTTTTTCCAATATTACATGAGAGCCTGTAACTATGAGGTGTAATTTCTGGACTGATATGATAACCAATAATTATGTCAATGTTTTCTATCACTTTATGTACATATTTTAGATTATTTAGCAGACAAAGAATCAAACCTTGGAGTCCCATATTTGAGGCTGTGTCATTATCCACTACTCTATCTATTCGTGTAAGTTTAAGAGATCACTAGTGTGTATATGTGTATTGGTGCGTGCACAAGCTAAAAATAGGACACTAAATGATTGTTTGTAATAATCATCTGTAATTCCAGTATCAGATCAGCAAATAACACACACCGTGCACCATTACCATAAAGAACAGCATATGGCTAAATGCTGCAAACGATAAGTGCCATTACTCAAGACTTCAATGACCTAAATCAGGATTTTACTGGAAGTCACTTAAACCCATTCTGTATAAGACCACTGCATTATTACCTTAAGCTGAATGCTGATCATCATTATCAGCTATTAATGAATGTGCTGCGGGAGATCTTTCATGTGTTTGGGGTTCTCTAAAGCTCTCTAAAAAGAGATACCATATTTGAGTATATAATTTCTCACACCTCCGTGACTTTGTTGAAGGAAGCTGAGTAGCAGATTGTGACGAAGAAGTTAAAGACTCGACAACTTAACGTGGAGGCTGGTGTGCGCTGTGCAGGAGGATGATGGACAAAAGGTATATCCTTCCTGCTGCTTCGCTACTAAGCTTTTTAGTTTTTTAGGGCATTTTCACACTTAAGTTTGGGTCCATTTGCCGTGAAAGTTTGGACAAATTGTGCACACACAGGCAACATATGACTGTATGAAAACAAACCTGTGATAATGAGCGCCCCCCCCCCTCCTCCAAACAAGCCAAAACATTTTAAAAATGTGTACAAAAGTCTCTTTCATTCTAAGGGTTCTTACTACTATCAGTGTTAAACTGAGAGTTGAATGTGTGAATTTGTGATTTATATAATGTAATGTATATAACTTGGGATTATATATGTTGTATATGATGTTTATGTTGTGATGTTATGTATTATGTCATGTCTTTTTAATTATGCTGCAAGCAAATTGTCCTAGGAAGGGACAGTACTACTACTACTACTCACACTTTGGTTGAACATGTCTGTCTCACGGCGCAGAGTAGTGTACTGACGGAGGTGCTGCTGAATCATCTCCACCCTCTCCACCTCAAGCCTCTCCAACTCCTGCAGAGAACAAGAAGAAATGGCTGATATGCAGATAACTGGGAATTAACTGTAAGACTCTTAAACCTATAATTAGACTCTTAAACTTCTTAAAAAATAAAGGAACCGAATGCCATAAAAAGGGGTTCTTTCAATGCCATAGAACAGGGTTGTTCAACCCTGGTCCTGGAGATCTACCATCCTGGAGATTTTAGGTCCAACACACCTAGCTCTAATGTTCAGACACCTCTGAAGACCTTCATTAAATAGATCGGGTGCGTTAGATTAGGGTTGGAGCTAAACTCAGCAGGATGGTAGATCTCTAGGAACAGGATTGAGCACCACTGCCATAGAACTATTTTTAGTTCCCTAAAGAAACTTTTAATGTATTATTCTTTAATGAACTTTTGTAAATAAGATGTATGAGGATAAAGAAGCTTTCTGTATAAAATCTGTATAAAAACTGACCATGACTCTAAAAAATGAAGGTTACTACATGGTTCCCAAACAGTTCTTTAAAAAGCTCATGTGATGTAAAGATTTTTTTAAGATTAAAGATTTTTCTGTCCTAATTAAAGATTTTTTTAGGCTTATACAGGATTATTGATACAATTAGAAATTTAAGACATCTCTGTAAATATGAAAGGGGATAAAGATTTGAAAAAAAACATGTGACGACGACTAAAACTGTGTAGCAGTGTCAGAATATTTTTATTACCAAACTTGTCGTAACCATCTCCTCAAACCACTTGGACTGGGCCTGATTGTAGAGGTCCACACAGCGCATAAGGTCATCACCTATTGCAGGCAAAAGCAGAGGCAAGAGCAGATGTTTCAGATATCTATAGCAGGAAGAACACAAACCTGTGCAGTGGAGGTGGATTACAGAACTGGAGATGAGAAATGCTAGTATAACACCTACAGTGCACAAAGTCACAGGTACAGAGCTTCTTTAACCAGTAGGGGGCAGTCCCAGCCCATAAATCAGTTTTGTCAGAGCATTCCACATTTTCAAAGTAAAAAAAAACATTTTTTAGTGTGGAAGCCTGGCAGCACGGCTCTCGCTGAGCGGAATTATCAGCAAGGATTTATATTTGGCTTTACAAGTAATGCAAAATGAAAAGCGATATGACGCAAAAGACAAAATATTGAACCCTAGAAATAAAGTGACATCTCAATCTATATGGAAATGAGGCCGTGGTTTTAATGACATTTTCCTCAGTAATTGGGGCAAAAGTGATAAGTGACAGAGGGTAGGCAACACATAACTATATCTGATGTTTCCCACTGATTTAAAGCGAATTGTGTGTAGGTGTGACTCGTGAGAGAGGCAGAGAGAGAGAGAGAGAGCAGGAAAACAAAAAAAGGTGGATGGAACCTCAGCGCAATGAAATATGCAACCTAGTGTGTTGTTCTGAAGGAGAGCTGGTATTCAACAAGATTTGGTATGTATTATTTTAACAGTACTCTAGTTAAAACCACCTGTATTACATATAGCTATAGCTAAATAACACTGGGCAATATTTCTATTGTTTGTTATTCAAAGCGTAAACAGGATAGAGTGCTCAGTTATTGGTAGTAACAAACACTCATAATACCACTTGGTAGATACAGTTAAATGCAAGTGAACTACAGTTACTGCAGACATATTGCACTATGCATTAAGGCTGTAACGATTTCAATGCAGTAAAGCAAATAAATAAAACATTAACATTCAAAATACTATCTTGAAAATTAAAACCAATAGGCCACTCAGTCTCTTCTGAGGGTCTCTTGTTTGCCATGTTTTATGGAAACCACTGCCAGTGACTAAAACCAGGCACCTGGGTGCATCCCATGTCTTTCTGTTTTGTTTACTGCTCGGATCACTAATTTGCAAAAGGACATGCTACTTAGCAATCTTATGTTTTGAAACCAATGTGTATTTATCTGAGCCACACTAATTCAGTGTTCAGTGTGATGCTTGCTCTACCATTTAAGAATCATCTTTGTGCAAAGATGCTTTTGGGAAACTTAGCCCTGTGTAGTATTTAATTAGAGCTTTTAAACAAGTGGTGTCATAGTAAACTCATTAATAACATGTTAAATGATTAATACCACAATTTTTTTTAATGACACTAACACATTTTCCCTGTCTGACCCTTTGTAGCCATCCGTATTTCTACCCTAAAGCCCAGCTGCTTGTATGCTGTATGTTGCTATGATAGAATCTGCGACTGTAGCCCTGTCCCTCAGATAGAGCTTTTAAATAGCTCCATTGATGCACTGCTTCTTAAACAATAATAAAAAAAACTTTCTTTATGTCAACTTTGAGCAAATAATAAAATAAAGGTTGTTCTCTGTATTTTTCCTGACTTTTACTTGAAATTCCCTCCACAGACTATGTGGCTGTGCAAGAACCTGATTCACACATTTGGTGTGCTGCATAAGGCATGTCACCCTATGAGGCAGAGAACCAAGCACCAGCATGGTACTCTTCAATGCCTGTACGTCAGTCCGGCTAGTGGACTCTATGTCCTCTGCCTGGACGCGGACTCTGGGAAAATACTCTCCCACAATGCGTCACGCAGTTTAGAGCTTTGTGAACCGCATCCTGTGGGTTGTTGAGTTCCTCTCACGTTAAGGATGAGTGAGTGGCCAGTGCAGGACAAATCCAGCATTGATACCACTCGCACGGTGAGGCCAGAAGCTTAGCGTGCTGGACTGTCTTTAATAGCCCACTGGGGCTATTATCCCACCATAAAAACACAGATCACCACACTGGACCTCCAATTTCCATTGCTGTCTAGATCCAACGGGAACTGGCTCCTTTTTTAAGCGCGGGATCCTGGGGCTCGGCCAAGGCACTTTCTGCCCCCACGCAGGGGCTTTCGCTCGGCCTGCCCGTCACGCCTCTCACCCCTTCTCCAAACAGCGGCTGAAACTCTTCCCCAACCTAACTGCATAACAATGGCAGGCAATTTGTGCTCCACGCTAGAGCAGCCTGCGGAAAAAGCTGCTTATGCAATGCTAAAGAAGGAGCATAGGGTGATGCTGGGCTTATTTCAGAGGCAAAGCTGTCCTGATAGAGCGTGGATGATAGTATGAGAGGAGGAGAGGGAAGTGAGGGTAGAATGAAGTCTCCAGCACAATAAATGCAAAACTGAAAAAAACGTAGACATTAATTGCAACTGCATTCAGTGCTGTGCAATATATTGCCTATACTGATTTATACTGATAGACAACATTCACAGACAACACACAAAGTGTTACATTATTCTGTTCCATTAAATAGTGGCATCTCTGTTGAAAAGCAGTTTGATTTTAGTTTTTTAACTTCTATTTAGTGCACTTTGCACATGGCATGCAGGACCCACGATACATGTCATTTGCTGGCTGCTTTAGATTTGAAAGAAAAGTTCAAAATACATAAAAACTACATTTCTTTGTGGAAATGTGGTTTCTCTTCGGTTAATGTTTACAATACTGCATAATTCCTTTTGGTGTTATTTTTAAGAGATAAGAGAACAAAACAGTCCAATCATAACATACTGTTTCTGGTTTGTTAGATGTTTACTCATACTCAGGATGCATGGGTTTATTACTTTATTATTGCAAATCACTTTTCACTCGTACATTATTATTGCAAACTTTTTTTTTCTCTCTAATTTAGTCATTGCCAGTTTGGAGACCGCAGAGGTCTCTCCATTACACAATGCTACTGTGGTAGCTTTACAAGCAAAGGCAAAATGTTCTTTACTTTTATTGCAAGTGAATGTAAAAAGACTCATTTCCTTCAAGTCATATGAGCAGCACCACATCTTCTTTGAACTGCCACTAATGCAACAATACTGGACAGCTTGACATACTTGAAGGAGCTAACATCTGCTAACAGATGCCTGTGTTGGCTAGCATCGTGCTAAGTGATAAGAGGAGAGTGAGAGTCATGCTTCCCACCCAGAGTGAGACCAATTGTGCTTTCTTGGACTCCCAGTCTCGGACACATGTGGCACCACTAGGGATGAACTCTTGATGACAGGGCAACCGCTTAGTTATAGTGATATACAGTGGCAAAAAAAGTACGTGGACCCTTTGGAATGACCTGCATTTATGTAAAAAATGTCTTAAAATATGTTCTTCAACTAAGTTACAATAAAGAACAAACACAATTTGTTTAAAGTAATAACACAAAAATAATGTGCTGTTGTTGTCCATATTGAATACATCACTCAAACAGCCACAGTGTAGGGTGGAAACAAAGCAGGCTAATGACTTCGACAAAAACTAACTGGAGTCAGAAGTTGGCAAACCTGGAATCCAATTAAAGAAATGAGATTGGAGGTGTGGGTTAGAAGTACTTTGACTACTGATAACTACTCATGTTTGATCTTTACTAGAAGCATATGCTGATGTGAAACTTGCCTCGCAAAAAAAGAGATCTCAGAAGACCTACGATCAATAACTTTTGGTTTGCATAAAGCTAGAAACGGTTACCAAGTAATCCCAAATAGTATAGGTATTCATCAGTTAGTGTTGTTTCTACTCTCCCTAGAAGTGGGTGCCCAGCAAAGATCACTCCAAAGGCACAACAGAGAATGCTCGGTGATGTAAAAAAAGAACCCCAGGGTAAGAGTTAAAGGCTTGAAGGAATTGGTTAACATTTCTGTTTTATGAGTCTGCTCTCCAAAAAAAATCTGCTGCACGCCTGAACTTTGATGAAGCTACTGGGAAAATGTTTTGTGGACTGATGAAAGTTCAGGAAGAACACACAGCACTACATATGGTGTAAAAAGAGCACTGCCTACCACCATGAAAACAACATCTCAACAGTGAAGTATGGTGGAGGGTACATCATGATTTGGGGCTGCTTTGCTGCCTCTGGGCCTGGACCAATTGCCATCAACAAGTGATAATCAAATGAATTCCCATTTTTATCACAGTATATTACAAGATTATATCAGGATGGCTGTCCACCAGCTGAAGCTCAGTAGAAGCTGGGTGATGCAGCAGCACAATGACCCTAAACACTGAAGTAAATCTACTACAGAACAGCTTCAAAAAATAAAATCTGCCTCTTGGAGTGGCTCAGTCAGAGCCCAAACCTTAGCCCATTAGAGATGCTGTGGAATGACCTAAAGAGAGCCGTTCACTAACTTTTTCTCACTAACTCAACTACTAACTCAATGACTGAACTTTATACAAAGGAAATTGTGTAGCATATTTAAATTAAGCTCACAATGAGCTTAACTCAAGAAGCTCTAAGTGTTTTGTGGTTGTCGAAGAACGAACTTGGCTGAACAGTGAAGTGGAGGACAGCATGCTGGAGTCCTTATTACACTGCAGTCTGCTGGACTGTTTCTGACAGCTGGTGCAGGAGTACTAGACCAGCCTGAGATTTTAATGATCACAGAAGGAAGGTCCTAGCAGACACGGCCACTCATCAGTGCTGGTTCAATACTGGTTGAAAGTGAGAAGAACTGACAGAAATTCACAACACCTTAATGCTTGAGGATGCCTGCAGCTCACTGTATGAATGCAAACACAGCATCTCATTTGTGTTTTTCCAGAAAGCTCATAAATAAATTCTTAAACCTTAGGAGTGGCCAACAGAAACAAAAACAGCAAGCTGGGTTATGAGCTATTGCTTAATGATTATGATCACATTGAAAGCGACATTGCTTGCTTGGGGACAGAAGAATGTGCGAGAGCACTAAGGCCCCTGACCTGCTTGTGTGGATTTCCGCCGGGCCTTCTTGATGTCCTCCTCTGTCTTGTTGCTCAGCTTGATCTCCAGCTGCTGCGTCTTCACCTCCAAGTCCTTCTGTCTGTCCGCAAGAGCCTTACGGGCCTACAGACACACAACCAACAAGCCGAAGACAACAAGGCATTAATATAAAACCTACAACTACCCTCATATAAGCTTTGTTTACAGTAAAATGCAAACGTTTGGGCGCCCTGGTCAAATGACGTTTTCTTAATGTTCTAAGTGAAAATAAGTGAACACATCCTCTACATTGAACATATTTCTGCACATTTGAATTTACAATTATTGTTTATATGTTGGGAGAAAAAAAAATATTAAATATGGCATTTGCAAAAGTTAAAACTTTTGCATACAGCAGTAGTCTATCATTATTACTAAGGATTTTCACCCAGCATCTCATTTTTCCATAACTGTCCAAAGTTACCTAGATTTGTTTTTGAATGAAAGCCTAAAAGGATTATCCTTAAATGCCTAGGACTTGCTAGCAGATCCTAGCTTCCATTCCTTAATCTTTCAACTTAGAGTTACAGTTTACAACTGATTGTGCATTGTTTTCCATGTAGTCAATAAATAATAAGCCTTAGGATTTATTAGGCCTTGGAATTTAAGAGGCTAAAAGAAATTTTTCAACAGAACTATCCAATAGGAGGTGGTCAGTCATCCCGCTTGTTTAATTCCCTGCAAAGAGTAAAAGATGAATTTGGTTGGTTTTGCTGTCTGAGCTGAACACTGCTGAATATTAATGCAACACGTGAGGTGGCACTCTGATGAGTTCAGGAGAGCACTTTACCAAACCATCTGCTGAGGATGAGTGAGTCTGGGCACAGATACAGTACGACAAGGTAGCTGTGATGCATACAGCACAATCTGTTAAGCTAACAGTTGCTCATTTCAATTTGCGAAAAGGTACTAATATAAATAAAGGAAAATGTGTACCCAAAACATGACTTTCCATCACTGTACAAGTTCATCAAAAGCTGCAAAATGTAAATTTATGCTGTAACAGATTGTAATTTTAATTTTAACCCCTTAAATGTGCTGTCAGTATCAGATAAATGGTTGTCATAATTTTATAGCTTATATTTATATTCTTTATACAGCATTATATGACTGTCAGTTTTTACCTGTAATGCCCTTATACAAAAGATTAGGTTCCTGAGCATTTTATGGTTTGTTATGTTTATGGTCTTTTGTGCTACAGATACAGATTGCAATTAAACATTTGTGTGCTCACATTTAATATGCATCTAGTTTTATTGTGTTTTGATGGAAAGCTAGTTTAAATTACATTACCCTTCTATTTGACTGGAAAGAAGACAGTTACAACTCTCATATGACACCCACCTTTTGAATGTAGCTTATGAAATTAGAAAGTTATGAAGAATATGACGAAGTGCGTTTTGGAACCACTGGTGGTCCCAAGCAGTTATCTCAGGTGCCTAATGAGTATTGCACATTTGGGTGAATCTGGGTGAGCATATATCCACAAACAGTGGACAATTGTGGAGATTAAAAAAAAAAAGATACATCTGGAGTCATACCTTCTCTACGGCCGCATAGCGACTGACCAGTTGTTTTCTCAGGTCGGCGATGTGGTGGTCATATTTCTTCATGTCCTTCTTAAAGTTGTCTCCTCTGAATGTGAGCAGTGGCTTCTCCACCTCACTCTGGAGCTGCAAGGCAGAGATGTGGCGGTCAGTGCATACAGATGGATTCCACACATTACTCTGCCCACCGGCCCAGCGCCTCAGCAGCTTTCAGCTACTGCCCACTCAACTGTCCCTCAGTGCTGTTAGCCACAGACCTGACAGATTGTGAGGATGTGTGTTTTGGTGTGTGTAGGTGTACATGTCAGTGGATCTGCTGAATCCATGCATGTTTATGAATATGTGTGTAAATACGTGCACTGAATCCAAGCAGTACCTTCAGTGTTCGGCATTCCAGGGTTTTTTTGTGTGTTCTTTCTCAATTTGTAAGTGCCTGCAAGAGCAGTGCTACAGACGTAATGATTTGAGGTGTGTACTGTTGTCTAGGGCTGCTAGGCTGTGCTTTATTTTTGGGGGTATGTGTTTGGACTACAGTTTCCGCCTCAGCAATAATTATGATGTGGCCTGATAAAGCACATTTTTTTTCCTTGGGTTTCCAGAGAAAAGAAAGTGCTCTGAAACAGGTCCATTTTTTCATTTTCTTCAGGTAAAATAAAAAAAAAAACATGGACCAGTACCACACCAGTGAATTAATCTCTATTTCCCTAAAAGAAAAAATATGGTCAAAAATCTAATTTACACAATGTTCCCCTTAGCCCAAATGTAGTCAATAAGCCAAGACATGCCTGTTGTCCAAACTTTGCTACTTTGGGTTTTTATTGGAGTTACTTGAGTTATTGTTCCACTGTTGCTCTTAGCAGTTGCAGTTAAACAATGCTGAAATCTCTAGACAAGTGTATGACACGTAGGACTAGGACAATAAGCAATTTGGAAAAATCAGTGAATCAGGACAAATTTACTGATAAATGTCGATATTTTCATTATTTAAGATCGCTGGTATTCTACAGCTCCATTCAGAATATCTAGGGCAATTTCCATTTGTGCCAGAGTGGGGTGCCCAAGCCTTAAAGCCTTCTCACACAAAAAACTAGGTAGAACCACAAAAAAATCAACTTCAAAACAAAAGGCAAGTTCTGAAAATGTACACATTAACACTAATGCCATTTTTCATATCATTGTTGCTTGTGGTTTGTTCGCTCCTTCGAAGGCTCAGAGCTTCGAGCTGAAGCACAGCCTAGAACTCTATCACATACACAGCGCCGGCTTTTGAGTTTTAGCTTTTAATTGTTGTTGAGTTTATTTTAGCAGAATTGGTTGGGTCACGCTGCACTGACTGAATGAAAATGATAACTTTGTTGCTACTTGATGAATCCACTTTTTTTTCTTCATCTGCTTTTTTATACATAAAAAACATTGTTGACAACTAAACTTTAACCTCTTATTGACCAGAGTATATTTTAGTTTTTCCATCTGAATTTACATGACCAAATCGTAAGGCAAATAAACGTAAATTTTTATTTTTATATTTTTTTTAAAAGCTCCCCTCAAATTAACAGAAAATGTGTTTTATCACAGACGTATTATTTTATAAAAATAATTTTTACAGAGCAGATCACTGAAGAGATACCATCTGTTAGCCCAGATTTGTGGAAAAATTGGTCGACTTTCAGTAGACAAAAAAAATTGTGACTTCAGCTTCTTCTATTACAAGGGTTTAAAATTACATAACCCATCTATTTGCATTTTGGAACTAAGTGCATTTTGGAATCACTGGTGGTCTCAAGGAGTTAAAAAGGTTAACTAATATTATGAATGAAAAATGTCGCTTCCGATAGCATCTCTCTGTTTATTTTCTCACAGGAGTGAAGCAAAACCAGAACTGGAGTTTCAGATAACAAATCGGAGCGCAAAACTCTCACAAAATGGAGAGAAAAAACAGTAAATTCTGTTTACATTGAATGCCTTGTATCAATATCTATCAATAAATTGATAAGGTGTCCCAGCCCTAGTGAGAATTTAGGCATACAGTTGGCAGGATGCTAATTTAGGGAGGTATAAGCTTCCATTACTTGGTATCTACATTAGCCTCAAAGCCCCAGTGCACGAAACTAAATTAAATTAACAATAGAATTGATCTTCGGACACCAAACAGGACCTGGCTGATCAACCACATTTGGAGTGAGTGGAAAATTTTGTAAATCTTTTGCAAAACTACTCCTCTAACCCATACAATTCTGGGATATTTACTGAATATCATACAGTGCATAACTAAAAAAGTGTGTTATGCTATGTTTCAGTGTCTGCTACCTTTGAGGAGAATTTAAGATGAACCTCTGCTTCATCAGCAAGACTCTTCTTCAACTGAGCCCAAGCCTCTCCAAGAGTCCTAAACCGTATCAGAACAGCACCACGGTCAAATAAAGCCATAGTACATCCAGATCTCTGTACAGTAATCTTCTACAGAGTGTGCTACTGGCTACGGATACTAGGGGTGTAACATTACACATATTTTAAGTATCATTTTTAATTCTGAGGTCAAGATTCAAGCCTCATTTATAAAACATTTATATGCACACATCTGATCATAAAATGATTTTAAAGTGATTTTAAAAAATGCAATATAAATTGCAATTATTTACTGAGTTTAACATCTTGGAAAAAAAATAGCATAAAATAGAAAAAGTGCTGTACCTTCTGCACAGGCCACATTTTATGTTTTTTTCCCCCAATATGTTAAATTCAACAGATAAAGTAACTATGCATTAAAATGTGCATCTTAAGCATGAATTTAGAAATGAAATTCATGTATGTTTTATAAATAAGGCCTGTGATTATTCACAGCAGTTTACAGGAAAGGTGGTAAATGAGAGACTCTCAGAAGAGACCAGGGGGAGTGTCTATGATACAGCTGTAAATGTGGACACACTGTTTTACACTCATTCATGTTTTCAGACTTTAGTTCTTTATTAAAATCATTCCATCCTTAAGGCATTTATATCTCTACACAGCGCCTCTCTGCAGAGCATGTTAGAGGCTACGGATACGCACGTCTGCAACTCTTTGGCTCTACATACCCTTCCTCTTGCGCTGCCAGTGGGATCTGGGAGAGCTTGGAGAGGTTCTTGGCGTACTCTTCTTCAATCTTTATTCTAGTGCATAGAGGGGAGAGAATGCAGGGAAGAAAAAGGTCAGACTCGGCAGCGTGATGTCACAGAGAATTTCCTGCTTGTAGACAAAAAAAAAAGGTATCCAAAAGCGGAAAAGCCTTAAAGGGTTAAGGATTATTCTAAGCTATATAATAGTATAAAAGTAGGATTAAGTGTTGCGTTTATGCAGTCAAAGATGAATTAATTACACTGGGAAGCTGCAGCGAGTGAGAGCCTGTTTTTTTTGAGGTATATTTGTTTTTATGAGGTTATGTTGCACTTTTATTTCCTTTTAGTATTTTATGTCTTGTTTGGCAGTTGGAGTTTGGAGGTTGGATGAGATATCAGTACTGTGTACTCTCATAGCTTCATTCACAGCTTTATGATAATAAGGAAGGATTCTTTGAGCTGTATGTCACATAACAGTGCAGATATGTATACAGACATATATTTTGTTACACCCACAGTGGCTGTTGCTTTATATTTATTTGGATTATCTGTTTACCACTGTATTCTGTATTGTCAATTTATCTAATGTACCATTTCCAACATGACAAATAAGCCAGTAAAGTGGTTATGATTTACATCCGATGACAAACAGAAGGCAATACAAGATTGCTAAGTAGGGCTGTACATCTCTGACCCCACAACAATTCGATTCAATCATGACTCTTGAGGAAATCTGACTGGATGAACTACTTACACAGTAATGGAATATACACAATAAAAGTAATACACCAAGCTGTTACCCAATTTTCCCCTAATTTAGTCTTTGACAATTTCTACCTACCTATCTAGGGTTTCTTCTATCAAATGACATCTACCAATCTAGGAGCATGAGTGCCAACATATCCTTCCTCTGAAACTCACGAAACCAGCCACCACTTGCATTTTTATGCCCCTATTGCTGCTGATACTGATAAAATTCATGTCACAAATATTTCTAAGTAAACCACTGTATCACGGTATAATATTTAAGTCAGCATTAGTAAAGTTCATGGGTCCATGCTTCCTCAACAATGGTGCTCTACGCTTACAAAAAACATCTTACAAACCTGACATAGCCGTTTTATTATCTTAAGATTGCAACAAAGGGAACCTTACATAGTGTATGTCTACCAGTGTGGAAACAAGGACACCTCCATTTTATGGAGCAGAATATTGTAATGCATTAAATGCTTGTTATTTTTCAGTACACCAGTGCAGATACATACATACATATTTGATAGCAAGTCAGCAGTCCTACTTTAATACTTCTACTTTATTTGTGAAGAAAGTATCCTGCTTAGACTGGCCTTACATGGGGAAAGTTTCATGACAGTAGTGGCATGTGGCATTTTGTACTCCTGTTGCTGGGTACCATAAACATTCCCATGAATAGCATGCACTTAAAAAAAAGGCACAGACAGGGGTTCCACATTTCCTGCGACAATACAGGATGAGAGTAAGCAGTAGGCAGAGTTGTGTAACAGGCAACCCCTGTTCTGAGGTGAGCAAAGAGCGGCTGACTCATTCCCCAACAGAGCGAGAGCTCGGAGAAAGAAAACCACGCAAGTGAGGTGGGTTCAAACATTAACACTGAAACTGACTGCTTCATTTGACTAAGTGGTCAGCTGCAGCAGAGACACCTTTTAGCTTGTCTTGAATCACTGACATGCCTGTGGTCGCCTGCTTTCACTTATCAAATCAAATCAAATCAAATTTATTTGTATAGCGCTTTTTACAACTGATGTTGTCACAAAGCAGCTTCACAGAAATCCGTTTAGAACAAAGTTTCAACATGAAATGTAAATCCTCCAGGTGAGCAAGCCAGGGGCGACAGTGGCAAGGAAAAACTCCCTCAGTTGAGGAAGAAACCTTGGGAGGAACCAAGGCTCACATGGGGGGACCCATCCTCCTCTGGTCAAACTACGTACAAAATTATTATTCTACTAATATTAATAGTAATAGTAGTAATAGTTAGGAGACTTCAGTGTAGAGTGGGCAGCCAGTCCAAGGCAGGTGGCGGTGACTGGGTTGTGGGTAACTGGTCTGAAGCGGGTAGCCGGAGAGCTCTACAAACAATCATCCAGCAGTGTCCGGCCGGACAGGTGAGCAGTCGTTTTCTCGGAAGAAAAGTAGGGAAATGGAGTTAGTTTAGTTCTGTATGGGTGTATGTATAGTAGTATGTAAAACATTTCCAGAGTGTGGCTAATGACTCCGGCAGATCTGACTATAACAGCTTAACTAAAAGGAGAGAACCAAAAGGGCACACAGACACGGGAGCACCCTGAAACAATCTGGCATTCCTCCGCTCCACCGTCCACAAACCTCAGTGATCGCGTGTGAGCGGCGGGACGACAGCACCAGTCTCAGTTTACTATAATTCCCTGCGTCCATGGACCCCTGGATCTGCTGCCTTTATCCAAGGGGAAACATTAGCTACCAAAAGCTAAACTAAACAAATGAGTTTTCAGCCTAGATTTGAATATTGCGACTGAGTCTGAGTCCCGAACATTTTCTGGAAGATCATTCCAGAGTTTGGGGGCTTTATAAGAAAAGGCTCTTCCCCCAGATGAAACCTTCTGAATTCTGGGAACTATTAAAAAGCCAGCACTCTGTGATCTGAGTAATCGTGGTGGCTCGTAATGGGAAATAAGGTCTTGCAGGTACTCAGGAGCGAGCCCATGTAGGGCTTTATACGTCAATAAAAGAATTTTGTAATCTATACGGAATTTAACAGGCAGCCAATGGAGTGATGATAGAACTGGACTGATATGATCAAATTTTCTAGTTTTAGTGAGAACCCTGGCTGCAGCATTTTGAACTAGTTGAAGTTTACTTAAATTCCTGCTGGTGCATCCTGATAATAGTACGTTACAATAGTCTAGCCTTGAGGTAATAAAGGCATGTACTAATGTTTCTGCATCGTGCAGCGATAAGGCATTTCTTATTCTGGCGATATTGCGAAGATGCCCAGGTAACAATAAAAAGTGTGTGCCCACTAATGTCTTTGTTGAAGCTGTTGTGAGGTTGGACAAGCTTCACAAAGAGCTTCCCATTGATTCTAGTAAGAAACTGAGGCACACAAAATTTTGGTCAAGACTTTTTTAGAGAGCATTATTCATTTCAAATGTTATTTAATGAAAAAACAGGTCACACTGTTATAGATCAGGTGTAGTCGTGTGAGCTGACCTTGGCATAGTGTCAAATTCATCCGGCCTAGGTTCTATGTGCTAAAACAGCATAATCCAGCTCGGTCGTGAATCATTTTACACTCAAAACTAAATGTCATGTAGCGGCTCTAAACTTATTCTCTAAAGTTATTAGGTTAAATGGGATTTTTGCCAGTGTTCTGTATAGCGTGTCTGATCTTGCAATAGAATGCATTTGTGACCAGAGCCTGGCTAGATCAACTGACAGAGAAGGTTGTGTCAAAACTATTGGTCGCTCATAACCTGTGGGTGTTTCTGAACTCGAGCGGACTGTTGGTTGCCATAGTTTCACTGACGCCAAGCACAAATCAGGAATATTCCTGCTAAAAATAAAAATTCTGGAGAGAAATCGCTTGTCTATAAATTCATTCCCTGTGTATATCTTTCTGTGCAGTGAGTGTGTGAAGAAAACTGTGTCGCCATCTATTTGTAGCAGAAGCACAGCCACTATTCCACCATCTCTAGTAGGAACAAATATCTAGAAACCGGAAATGGGACACACCGTTTCACCGCGCTGAAGATTAAGCGTGTACGACATAGCTCCCATTAGTAATTGCCACATTGCTTCGCTCCTAATTTGCATGAAGTTAAACTTGGCTCAACTTTGTCATGTCGTCAGTGTTCGTGCTGCCTCCTGTTGCCGGAAATTGCCAGCTCTCAGTGAAAATGAATGAATTCTGACCGCTTTGTAGAGTGGTGTTGCTGCAGGTGTGAACACAGAGTAAGCCATCCATAGTTAGAAATCAGCCCTGTTCTCTGGTTTAGTTCTTCTCTCAGGCAGCCAAATATGGACTGTTATAGATTTTATCTGAAGACATTCAGATGCCTATGGCGTTGGGTGAGCACCTGCTCAAAAAGATGTGGTGACACGTTATGGACAAAGTACTCTGCCTGGATGACAGCTATTGTGTGATATGGCACATCTAAGCCCAGTCTGAGCTGGATTAGTTTTACATGTGCTGAAAACCGTGCTCTGTCATTTACATGATTATTGACTATGCCCTTAGTTTTACTCAAACAAGTCTGTATTCTTTTAAAAGAATAACAGACATAGCAATGTGCGGTGTTGTTATTGTTTTTGGTTGTGGTGTCTGTAACAAAACACTGATGTGTATATCCGGGCTATGGCTTTTCAATCTGTGCTAACACTAGGAATTTGAAGAAATTCAAATCATACAAGTCTTCCAGTCAAATTACAGTATAGAACCTGCCTTGGTAAAACAAATCCAGCTCCGGTAGTGCTCTAGATAGCAGGTAGAATTTGGCAATTGCTAAAAAATCCTGAAAAAAAACATGGAAAACTATTGTAACAATTTAACTGTATGATTGTATTTCATGAAAATTACTGTCAAGGGTCAAAACTAGGGATCTGGGTGGATTGTATCAGAGTGGAGGGGAGGGGGAGGGGCTTAACACTCAAACGTTTTTTTTCTGAGGTCACTTTTAAAGCTGCATATTTTGAGGCTTATTTTGATATTGATGTGTAATGTTACACCCCTCAAAATTATATGGTTTAAGTCAGTAACTAAAAAAAGGAGGAGAACATGAGAGAACGTAAGTGGTGTAGCAGTTTATGGTTATGGAAGTGTTCCTGCAGTGCGAGAGAACTGGCCCCACAGGGCTAAAACTGGCCTACCTTTCTCTGATGAACTCAGCCATCTCTTTCTGCATCTGCTTGCCCTTCAGCTGCTTCTGCAACAGAACCTCGAAGCCTGACACTGTGGTGGTCCCTTGAGGGTCCTTCTTATCAGCCTAAAGAGCACAGACAGAGAACGGTAAACAAACACACATACACACACACACACACACACACACACACACACACAAATAAATATCACCTGCACCATGGTTTAAACAACATGAGGATGTGAGTCTCTATGTGTGTGCGTGTTAGTCAGTGAGTGAGGGGATGGGCTTGCATGAATCAGAGGGGGCTGTGTGTGGGTGTGAGGCCGTGTGTGGATGTGCATGATTCATGTAGAAGAGGGAACGTGTAGCTCATCATATGAGTAATTTTGAGTGTGTGAGTGTGTGTGTGTGTGTGTGTGTGAGTGTGTGTGTGTGTGTGTGTGTGTAAGGGCGGCACAGTATATTTTTCGTTTAATATTATTGTGATGGCTTTTGTATTAATAATACTGCAAGTTGCAATGTGCAAATGAGCCCTAATGTGATCCCTTGCTACATTTTTTAATATATTCATATGTATTTTTCCCACCTATCCACTATTATTGAGGTTCATAAACCAAAAACAGTCAAAAATCATTTTTGTATTCCTTAGTATTAAACTGTCTAGTGACTGTGCATTTAGACTAATATAAATGACATCTGTTCTGACAGTTTGCCCTGTATTGTGCCTCATTCTGTGCTGCACCACTATGACATGTAATGTAGGTAATAAATGCATCAGTTTTCATGGCATCACAACAACAGTGAATTCAAAATGGTTTTGCACCTTAGTTTCCATACACAGACTGTAAGAACTGGCAAGTGAATTGAATCACTGCTTCATTTAATCATAGTGATAAAAAAAATCATTCACAGTGTTTTGATGTGAAATGGTGCATTATAGAGAAACATACTTTGATTTCACTACAGTGGTGGTGACAGAAAACACTCATTATCAACACTATTCATTATCCACCATAACCATTTGACCTACATGTTTTATATGTGATGTCTATTACAGTAAACAGTGATAAATCTAAACGTGGGTACTATTTTGACTTATAACATCCTGTTTGCCAAGATATGAGCCCTAATGAATGTGTGTGTGTGTGTGTGTGTGTGTGTATGCATGTGGAGGTGTAAACTGCATGAGAATGGTTGCCCACGTATAATACAATGCTTACGCATGAGGACATCCAAATATGTTTACCTTTGACTGTGAGCATCTCTTTGAGCATCTCTCTGAGCATCTGTGTCTTTGTGTGTGTTTTTGTGTGTGTGTGCGCGTCTGGGAGCATCTGAGCAGCTGCCTTGGTGACAGCCACTCACGTGCTTCATCACACACAGCAGAGGCGTCACATCGTCTTCACACACTTGGCTTGAGAGGAGCAACGCTCATCCAGCACAAAAACGCCATCAGCCTGTCAGCATAGTGGCTACACACACCTTCACAGCTTCTCCAAAACCTGACTGCAGCAGCCACACACAGTAGTGAATCCTTAACAACACACTGGCTGATTTAATATTTCAAGTTAAGCTAGTTTCTTTAGGAAACACAGAAGAAGAAAGCAGGCTGTAAGAGGAATCCTGATTAAGTAGTGACAGCATCTTCAGTCATTAATCAAAAAAGTGAAGAGCGACACATGGATAATTCTATGCTGTGTCATTAATTTGAATATTTCTACAAAGAAGCTTTGTTCACTTTCCTAGGTTCCCCATGGTGTATGAGACTTGAAAGCTTACATTTTTTTTTATCATTACATTACATTTTATCATTTTTTATCAAGTGGAGAAATAGTCCTCTGAAATGAAGACGTGCATCGTTCTGTAGGCAACGTCATGTCCATATTAGGAACTAAGGGTGTCTTCTCCAGGCGAAAAATATGTTGCGGATTCAAAAATCTCTGCTGTCGTCCACTGTAGTAAACAAAAAAGTCAAAAAAGATGGTGCTGTCCTGTGTACATTTTCCACCCCAACTGTCACTGGATCCCCTTCCAGAGGTTTAGCATTTGAAATATGAACAATGCTGCATTCATGCCACAAGCAAACTAACACTCCTGTGCATTAAAAGTAACTTTATTGTTAAACTTCAACACTATGATGTAACAACACTAGCCACTCAAACTCAGAGCCGTGTAGAGAGAGAGTCGCGTCATCTCCGTTCACTCCAATGGACCATTTTTTTCCAGGCGGATCATGGAGCCTCTCAATAGTTCCCGGAATTTAGCAGCAAATACTAGCAGCGCAGCCGAGTTGCAGCAGAATAGACCGGTTGTGGTGCACTTTTAAAGGGTAAGACATTTAAAGAATAAGTTTGTATATAATAAGCACATCTGAATCAAATTAACATGTATGTTAAAGTATGTCAGTGGATTATCCCTGATTAAATTAGTAGATTTAGGGAACATTAACAGATAACAGATTAGGCTAGGATACTGAGTAAAGTTTAACACATAAAGTTAACTATAAACAGCCTAGTAATTGTAAATTCCCTGCTCTCAATGTCATTTCATCCACTGTTGTTGAATTTTAGAAAAAGTCTTCTAAACGTGATTTTTTGCGGGGTGGGTGGGAGTTAAATATTAGTTAAATATAAGATTGGGGCACGAGCTTGTAGAGTGGTGGTGGAGGAGGTAAAATGAGGATATCGTTATCCATTTTGGATTTCGAGCTAATGTAAGTTATACAGTAAAAAGAAAGAGCTATTTTCATGATACGTCACTATTGATGTGGATTTAGAGCGCATATTGGAGACTTTTTAAAGAGTAAACAAATATAAGACTTATGGATTGAGTGTTTGCAGGCTTTGTGATCCTGTAGACTGTTATCTGTACATTATGTTGCAGTTTAGTTGATTTTGGATTAATGGCAAGAACCACGGGGGGATTCAACTCAGCCTAAAGACTCCCTACAATAAGGCAGCACCCCCACCCTGCACCCTGAGTCTCAGCTCCCTGGGTTTTGCAATTCTTTACCTGTTCCTTATTTTTAATAAACAAAACATTAAGCTTCCCAGTGGTGTGGCTTTTGTTTGTGAAACGTATGCAATGTCACGTTTTTGTTGTAATCTTTAGTGATGGTAAGTAATTTAGTAATTGAGCCAGCAGTTTTTTCTTCTGTCCGTGTCAGTGGAGAAACCAAACATTTTTACTCCTTTCTCCGAGCGATTGAAGCATCTCCATGCAGCAGAGCAAACCATGGTGGGGACTATATGCAAGGACAACATGGAGAAAAGGACACAGACAAACTGCCTGCCATGCTATTCATGGTTGAGTTCATTATAGCTTCATTTAATCAATCCATTGCAGTAAATATGTGCATAGTAAAAATATAAGATACATAAAACATGTTTATATGTGTACAAACAAATATAAATAGATGTTTTTATTATGTCCTGTCCTGTCTGGATGTGATGTGTTTTAATGTACCCTTTTTAATAGCAGATTTTTGCATACGCAACCCAAACAAATTCCTTTGGCTCCTTCTCCTGTCCTTTCAGAAAGTCACAGAGTTTACAGTAGTTATTAAGTCATTAAGATTATCCAGGCATTGGGATTACTGAAACAACCATTAATTAAAGATGTGTTAATGTTAGAAAATTAATCTGATCTCAATTTTGAAACACTCCTTCCCTTCCCCTCCCTGTATATCAATAAACATTAGGATATGACTGATCTTAACTACCTTACAAGTTTAAGAACATAATATCTATAATACTAAAAACTCAAAGCAATAAACAACGACAACACACTTTGAAACCATGTTGATGTAAACCCAACATGTCAACAAGACAAGTAACGACAGCTGTTTAATCCTCAAATAGTGGCGATTTTTACTTTAAAATATATCATATTGTTGAAACTACATACAAATGTTGGTTTTCTATATAAATATTGTGAATCAATGCATTTATTGACTGTACCAAAAGACGCAGTTCTGTCACTCTGTGTTTATGGGTTTAAATTGCCCGCAAAGAACTTCCTGGAACTATCTGAAGCGTGCGTAAATCCCATGACCATCAAGCATTTTGAACTTCCGTTGACGCGACTCTCTCTCTACATGGCTCTGCTCAAACTATTGGCAAAGCAATATAAGCATGATACTTAACAAAGCTTGCTGGTTTGTGTGGAGCATATCAGCAAGGTTGTCCTAAAATGTCACTCTGTGTTTCCTTTTGGATTTTTCCATGTGCATTTGCATCAAAACTGGTCTGCAGAGGAGAAGATTATAATCTGAACTTGTAAAGACAGCGGTGGGACTGGCGTCCAGCTTATACGTCCCAGACGTCTTCCTTTCACCCTTCTTTAATAAGTGCATGTTAGGTACGTTTCCTGAGTCTGCTATAATTTTTAAGTAATTAAAAAAACTGCTGCTCGTCTCACTCTGACTGGACTCATGTGATTCTCATTGTCATGGTAACGTCTACACTAAGTGGTACTCTACACATGCACATAAATTTGGACCAGATTACTTGTAGTGAGCATGTAAACGGAGATTTCCATCAGATTGTTGAGTAGAGTGAGCATATAAACACCTCAGTCTTGTATGTAGCAATAATTGGCTCCTTAATGGCCTTATAATTCAGAGGATCCAGTTACATTTGGGGGAAAAATGAAAACCAGCAAAACGTATTGGTTTAGAACACATTTGTGATACTGGCAACTTTTTGTACACTCCATTCATTTTTCTTACAGAGAAAAAAAACAGCTTAGACCTGGAGTTCCTAATATTGGCATGGCGCTGACTACAGAATGACAGCATGATTACAGAGGCCTATTATGTCGAAAGTGTGAATTTTAAACTTTCATTCACAATGTCACATTAGCGTTAATAAGTAGGAGTTATTTTAGTCTGATCTGAATTTGGCAAAATGTTACTGTACAGTCTTGTTTATATTTTTGTTAATGTGTCATTTTGTGACACTAATCAAATGTAAAAATGTAAGTGCAGACTTGAATATCAAAATTACATAGTTGATTACTATGTAATTAATCTAGGTGTAATTGTTATATAATTATGTAAAAACCCAAAATTCATTATGCAAATTCAAGGTATAAGGCAACATCAGCAACTTCATAAGGGCTTTGGCTCAAAGCCCAACTGAAATCGTACACCTAGGACAGCTTTTTCTCATTCAGTCCTTGGTAAAGGCTATGATGTGTAATGCATGGATGCATTGAGTATGGATAAAGGTAAGATGGATGAAGCTTCTTTCTCTTGCCCCTTTCACCTTCCATACATTATTTTCCCTTACACGTTATCTTTCTGTCACAACCTCCCCACATCTCTCACCCAGAAATAGTCGCAGTAGCTCCACTCATTGGGTTTGAGGAGTTGCTGCTCAGGCGTGGAATGGGGCAGTGGGAAAGTGACGAAGTTGATCTGCAGAGAGAGGAGAGAAGAAAGACAAAAGTTAAAGGCAAGGACAATAAAAAAAAAAACGAGTACTAGGCATACGTACATGAGATGCAAACTGTGCACAAGCCCTCCTTCTAAATGCACTTCGCAAGGTGCAGGGTTTAAAGAGCACAGTGATACGCTGGAGCCGCCAGCATGCTCAGGCATTCAGTGCTGAAGAGACAGTGGTGTTAATAAGTGGTATAATAATGTGGTGTAAATAAAAAGTTCTTTCGTGTTCTCTACAGGGGTGTAATTCTTCTCTTGTTCAAAAACAGTTGGAAAGCAGAATATGAGCGTATTTTGTGGCCACATCAAGGTACATTTTGCACTACATCCTCTCATATTTGTACATCTGGCCTAGAGTTTTAATAGTGTTATTCTGTGAGTAAATATTCTTTCAGCATGTGTTCAAAGCCTGGCCTCAATTTATGACTGCTGTCATTGTTACAGAAAGTCGCCCAGCAGCACACTTCTAAGACATTACTGCTAATTTACAGCAGGTTCTAAGACAGAAAATTTCATGCAAAACTGGCAATGCCAACTGCCCAAATTTTGATAAAATTGAACAGGATATGTAATCAGGTGCACACCCAAAACATCCACCCATTTTCCACATTGTTCACCACCCCCCCGTAATGCAAGTGTTGGACTCCAGTCCTTGCGGGTCACAGCACTGCAGAGTTTAACAATCTGTCTCACTGAACACACCTGATTTAACTCATCAGCAAATTAGTAAGGCCTTCAGGTACTGAATTCAAGTGTTAGATAAAAAAAAACAGCAATCTGTGCAGACACGTGGCCAGGAAAGACTCCAGTTTGACACCACTGCTGTAATCCATATGCATGAGGAAGTGAAATGCATTTTATGTGTGTATACATAGTGCATATAAGCTCATACAGTTTTGTGCATAATACGCAGGCAGAATCCATCCTATTTGCGTCTGAAACCGCTGAAAAAGACCCAGAGAGTCATAGTGCTTAAGAGAAAGGAACTGCTACATGATCTAAAACTCTAATCACAAGACTCACTGAATCCTATTTGCACTGAGCCTTTTATAGTTAATTATATTGGTGGCCCTGTTGATGCCATTCTAGTGACGATAAACAGGAGCAGTAAGTCTGAGACTACAGTTGAAGACAGATTTAGTTCAAGTGAGTGTGTGATATATGGAGTTGAACAAGACAGAACTGGCTTGTATACAGCTCGAAGGATGCAATGTGCAAAGGTCAGAGATTAGAGTGAGCCGGGAGGCGTGGACTGGTCATCTGGGCAGTGACCTAACAGTGCCAGAGAAAGCAAAGAAAGAGAAGACAAAGAAAAAGGGAGGAGGAGAAAGAGTGAGAGAATGACTTGGTCATACCTCAACCTAGCGTGGGAGGTATACTGCTGTAACAGTGAATGCAATATGATGATGTTTCATGGTATGGATTTTGCCATACTGTGGATATCGCAATAAGCTCAAAAACAGCCACAAACAGCCCCGCCTCCAAGACAAACTAAACAAGAGCATGAACAGCTTTAATAATTCTTAAAAACTCAACAAGAGAACACTTTTTCAGCCTGAAGCCGCCACTGCAGCACTAAGTGCCACTTGCAGTCACGCTCCTCGCAGCGCAGTAGTGTGTGTGTGTGCATGCAGCAAGTCTATGTGCAGCATGACACTAGAAAGATGTGGTGTAAAAGCAAAAGTGTTATGACAACATCTGCTTTGCATGTGCCATACATTTACAGATAGTTTGAAATTAATTTTTCCCCTCTTTTGCTGGACAATCAGATACAATCTTAACTGTTAAGAAAGACAAAGAAGGAAGAAGCTCAAAAAAACCAGCCGGAGTAGAGCAGCAAACTTAGCAAACCTGGCTGAAAGGCCTTTATTAGCTACAGTGAATATGCATGTTAGCATTTACACAAAGAACGTTTTTTTTTTTGTTGCAAACTGTCATGGTGTTTTTATAAGGTTAAGAAGAAACCTTGTATTATTTATTTAAAGGGCTGATACAAATTGCTATAATAATAGTTACTATTTTTTGTTGTTATTATGGTTTTAATTCTTTACTTGCTTGGACAATGTAACACCATACCATCATCTTCCAAATATCAGAAGATATTGTGATATAAAGTTGAGCACAAAGGTGCAAACAGTTTTATGCTTTAAGAACAAGTCTTGTATCTGACGTAGACTTCTTCTTAGGACCTTTCTCAAGAACAAATTTAAGAAAAAAAACTTCGGTGAAACTTTTTGGTAAGATATTGGTGAATGAGGCCCACTGTTATCAGCCATTCTAATGCCTCAACCTGTCTGTACTTTTGTCCATTTCGATGGAACAAAAAGGACTCCGGACACCAAACGTTTTGACTGATTGTTCACCTTTTTATGGCAAAATTGACAAAATTTGATCTTTCGCAAAATAATTCATTTAAAATAGTCAAGAATTCTTTTCTAATAATGATCTTGCATTCTGTTGTACAAGGCTACAGAAATAGCCAAGACAGGCTCAAACCACGCCATGCTATTGCTGCTCATTGCTGAGCAAGGAGACAATATGATCAAATGTACACACGGACAAAGCATGCACTCTGTTTGAGTACACACTCTTGGGTCCACAGCGTCTCCAATTAGCCTGTAAGGGCTGCAATTATGTAATGTTCACCATCTGCACTGCCTCCCTGCAACTGCCAAACAGGATGTTCCTTCTACCCAACACACACACATAGCGCTGTAAACAAATGGACCTCAATTCCCAACGAAAAAAGATATTTTGCAAAGATTTGTTAATGATTAAGACATGCTGTTGGCTTTGATTTGCAACCATTAATTAGCATGTTAATGCAATTCCCTGTATATTAATGACCCATGGCAAAGATCTGAATGGATTTTTGCAGAGGGACAAGTGCAAAACGTGGAGGCCGAGTGAGTCATCATTTCAGATTAAGAGTGCATGGCCAAATACGGAAGACTGCATCGCAAAGCAGCGACAGTTACTGTAAATGGGCCAGTGATAGTTACCGTTTGTAAGGAAATCCCTCATGGATTTCCTTTAATCATTAACCCATTAAACTGCACGTACCCGCATGTGGACCCAATCTCCAATTCCTCACTCCTTTAAGTACATAACTAATATTAGTTTTGTGGTAGTTATTAGTCTTAAAGGGCCCATATCATGAAAAATAAAAGAAATAAAAAGATGCAAGATGAGATAAAAGAGGACCCGGTATGTGAATACGTAAATACAATAAGTTTCAAAATGTACTAATCTCTTTGCAGTTTATACAGTCCATATATGGTAATGCACATTTTTTTTTAATATTTTAAATGAATTGTTCTTGTGATGTCACAAACATCAAAACATTTACTTACATCCACCTATACAGCCTACAGCAGTTTAGCCCCGCCCATACATATTGAAGTTATAAGGAGTGTTTTAGCCCAGACTGCTTTTTGAACAGCCAATCAGAACAGAGATCATTTACATACCAGTCTTAAAGAGGCACTCTGGCCAAATTTAGAAATTAAACCATTGCTACATCTTTTGTAGACATGTCTATTTGCCCCCTACAGTTGTGCCACAATAGTCCTAAGAAAGAGATTTTCCAGTTTAAAGACTAAGAACACCCCCTTATGATGATGTATCTCGAAGGTGGGAAGAACTTTTGACAAACCACAAGTACTTTGGAGTGAATGCATGAGGATAAGCTGTTTGAATTTTTTTCTCCTGCTAGCAGGTTAACGCAGAGGGGCCACTGTAAAGCCAAATATCACATCTGCATTTATTAGCCTGTATATCAGCACATTTCTTTATCGCTGTGGGAGGGATTCCCAAGGATTGTCTGACATATTTGGATAATGCATGTTGGGTATTTTTGTGAGAAAAGATCAATGGATGAAAATGCAAAAAGGTTACAAAGTTGTGAATTCTGCTACGTACATGAGTCTGAGGTACACAATGATGCACTGCAGAAAACCACATAACATTATAAATAACATATTAAATGCTAGCTTTAGGCCAGAATGCCCCATAAAGTTACAGTAAAAAAAAACAGCCTGTTTAATTGTCAGGTTGGAAAATGCTCATGTCATAATGTATAATGAGTATTTGTGGTACACAAAACCATACAAACGTCTTAAATGGACCACAGGAAAAAAAAATACAACAAAAACAAGATATGAGCCCTTTAAATTTATAACTGAATATTAAGTCTCTTGTTCAGGGAGTTGAAGCATTCCTAGTCAATATTTTATTGTCCTCTAGTCTATGCTTTTCTCAGTCTGCATACAAAAGCTCAGGCACCCCAAGTGAAATGATGTTTGTTTTTTATTTTTATTTTATTTTCACTTTAAAAAAATCAACAAAACATCATTTGACCAGGGATATTTAACGTATTGCATACGACGGTATCCACAATATTACGGTCAGTGACATTAGTACTATAACTTCTGCTCTCTGGACATTGGCCGTGACATGATCCTACACAGACCAGACTCTCATTTGCTTGCACAGTAACAGAACATGAGACAGATGTGCACACATACACACCCTACACACACGCTTGCAGCGCTGACCTCAGACTCTTGCACACTCGTCGCACTCTAATCGAAAGGCACATGGCTTGATTTACTCGCTCGTGTCCAGTCCCTTCGCTCATTTTCTGCCTGGGAGATCATGCTGATTATCATGGCCACTGGATTTTCCATTACAGCGCCTCTCCATCTATCATTCCTGTTGTTTAACTCAGCCTCTAATCCTGCCCAAAATGAGCTCATTTATCAGGGTCTGTCCCACCGCACTCCTGCACCTCTACACTGTCCCAGTCCGCCTTCAGCACTCCCCTGTCCACCACTGGGCAAGGAACCCCCTCTCTCAACTCTGGAACACAGTTCTTTGGGGAAAGCAAGGTCATATCTGTCTCTACCAGCTCTAGCATCGGCTCCCCGTGCCTGGATCCTGACTATGGCTGCATGATGTGGAAATAAAATAAGATG